GAATCAACAACCACCACATCTCTTTTCACCACATCTAACCCACCAACTACAGCTACAACTGAACCAACAACAACCACACCTCTGTCCACCACAACGTCTAACCCAACAACAACCACACCTGTCCCTACAACTACAAGTGCCCCACCATCCACAACTACAGCCGTACCAGCAACAACCACACTTGTATCCATCAACACTACCCAGGCAACCACAAGTACAACTGTACAAACAACCACAACTGTCCCCATCAGAACAAGTTCTTCATCAACAACAATTGTACCATCAACAACCATCCCTGTGTCTACCTCTACAACAACTACCCTACCACCTACAACTACAATTGTTCCAGCAAGAAACACACCTGAGTCCACCACCACAACAACATCTACCCCACGAACCACGACTACAACTGTCCCCACCACTACAACAACTCCACCAACTGCAAGTACCACTGTGCCAACAACAATCACACCTTCCGCCATCACAATATCTCCCTCAACAAATCCAACTATACCAACAACATTCACACTTGTCCTTACAACTACAACTAACCCACCAACCACAAATTCAACTGTACCAACAATAACCACACCTGAATCCACCACCACAAAAACTACCCCACTAATTACTACTACAATTGTACTGACAACAACCACACCTGTATCCACTACATCAGTAACTAGCTCACCAACCACAACTACAACAACAACCACACCTGAATCCACCACCACAGCAACAACTGTACTAACAAAATCCACCCCTGAATCCACCACCATATCAACAACTAGATTACCAACCACAAGTACAACTGTACCAACAGAAGGCACCTCTGAAACCACCACCCCATCAACAACTTCCCCACCAACCAAAACTACCACTTTTCCATTAAAAACCACACCTGTCCCCACAAGTGAAACAACTACCCCACCCACAACAATCACAACTATTCCCATCACTACAACAACCACTCCTTCTACTACCACTGTGCAGACGCAAAAAACAACCCTAGCCTCTTCTGTAATACCTGTTTCAATTCCTGTAAAAGTCACTGACACAGTACCTAATGCTGTCACAACTATTTCACTTGCAACAAATTCTACAAGCATCATCTCCACTCCAGCTTCTTCTCCCACCTCTTCAAATTCATCCACATCAATCTTCACTACTCTTGCCACTGCTACAGTAACCAGTACTGCAGATCTCAACACCACAGTTAATTCCAGCAAAACGTAAGTAAAGGCTTGTGTGACATGATGTGATATATTTTACAGACAACTTTTCATTAAAAAAACACCTAAAATTATTCTTAAAAGCCAAAAGAATATAAGACAATCTACATGCCTTAAAGAACTTAATAACCAATAAACAGATCCAGGAATCTGTTTTAGATCCATTGTTCAATTACTGTAGGTTTTGTTATAGACAGCACATTATTCAAATTTGCAGATCAAGCTACTATATACCAAAAAGCACAGACATTAAAAAGGAAACAAAAACATGTATTAGTCAGATAATTGACAATTGAAGTTCTGCAATTCAACATCAGTGTGTGTGTGAATTTAATCATGACCTTGAGTTTCTATATGAACTTATATCATATTTTCTCATGTTTCCATGGGAGTTTATTCTGTGCCCTGCTTCCACATAGCATTCACAGACATTTAGAAGCCTTTTCAGTGGATGCTTTTGTTGGATGCAATTTGCTCATTCTTGCTGGTTTGTTCTCGGTATGGTAGGGGAGTGGTTTCATTCTCATTACAGCTAATATAAATAAATGAAAAAAGCGTGAAGACTTCCTCTCAAATATAACATTCTTTTATACAAGAAAACAAATGTTAATATTATTAAACAAATTAATTGAATACATTTTTTAATTTTGTGCAGAATTAAAAATGCGAAAAAACAGTTTCAGGTTCATCATTGTAAATATTTTCTGTTGTAATGTCATAATTTTATTCTACATTCCTCTTTGTCATCACAGAGAGAGGTCAGTGATGGCTGGACTAAGACTGGAGTTCAACACCACAAACCAAACTCTCAGTGCAACTGCGATAGTCAAACAATTCACTGCCTTCCTG